CCCGAACTTCCCATGGCTCCCTCCTTCCCTTCATTCAGGTCTCGAATGTCCTCCTCGGGCCCTCTCTGACCACTTCTGTCAATCACCCCCTGTCCTTTGCCCGCTGTTGAAGAAGGTTTCTTGATAACATCTCATATTCTGAAATTATTGATTTCGTTTCAATCTTCCTCCTGTAGAATGCCAGCTCGCTGCCCTCCAGAATCGAGGCTCTCTCATTTGCCTCTGGGTCCTCAGCGCTGAGGACAGCGGCCACCCACCGCAGGTGCGCAGCACGATTTGTTCCCTGGGTTCATGACCCCCAGGGGGTCACCAAGAGCAAGTGCTGGCACACAGGCCCTCGTTAATGCCCATTTAAGCTGTTTCTGATTTTCCTCTTTGGTACCAGCAATTCTGTGGGATGGAGCTGCCTGGTGGAGATGCCTCAGATGCCCAGTGGGTCCCCCAGAAAATGCTCTCCTGGCAGTTCACCAACAACGGAAATCTATCCCTCACGGTTCCAGAGACCCAGAAGTCCAAGACCAAGTTGCCGGCAGACTCGGTGCCCGTGAGGGCTGCTTTCTGGTTCACAGGTGGCACCTTCTCCAGGCGCTCCCACGCGGTGCAAGGAGCCGGCACCTCTTTTCAAAAGGTACCTACCAATCCTAGTCATGAGGCTGGGACCTCGTGATCTAGTCACCTCCCCAAACTCCACCACCTAATATCTTCCTGTTGGTGGTCAGGTTGAGGACAGACTCTCTTGAATGGTTTCATCTGCCAACTACTCACTACCATCCACCAACCTCACCTCCTCCCCCCTCGCCACCTCCAGCACCTCCTCCAACACCATCATGACCTCCATCACGTTCTTCACTCACAAAAAGGGCAGTAAGCAGAGCGCTATCGATTTAAGAATAGCCCTGCCTAATAGAAAGGTACTATGAGCCACATGTATTTAAGAGTTTTTTTGGGGGGAGGAGGTACCAGGAATTGAACTCAGGGGCACTCGACCACTGAGCCCCATCCCCAGCCCTATTTTGTATTTTATTTAGAGACAGGGTCCCACTGAGTTGCTTAGCACTTCACTGTTGCTGAGGCTGGCTTTGAACTCACGATCCTCCTGCCTCAGCCTCCCAAGTCACTGGGATTACAGGCGTGGGCCACCACCCCCAGCTTGATTTACTTTTAATACAATTATAAATCACTTAGATTGTCTGTGAATCTTATAAGGAAGTCCTAGGTCCTCATGCTGGGGACGGAACCCAGGGCCTCATACACGCCAGGGAAGTGCTGTACACTGAGCTGCTCCCAACCCAGGAGCTCTCTTAACGCATGATACAGCTGGTGGGGATGAAGCAGCGGCTCTGTGTGGTGTGGCTTGGCCAGTGTGAGCAGATCCAAGTTCTTATTGGGCAGCCGGCACAGGCTCGGAACATTGCTGCGTTCTAATTGGATGAACAGCTGGGGATCTGGACACTGACAGGTTCTGATTGGGTAACAGCTACAAAGTAGGAAATTGGAGAGCTCTGATTAGGTGACAAGCACAGATCCACCCAGTGCTGAGCTTTTATTGGATGGCCTGTACAGGAACAGCCCATGGCTAAATTCTGATTGGCTAACTGGACTTCTGTCCAGACATCCTAGAAGCAGTTCAGGAGGTGCCTGTGCAGAGCAGCCTGCTGCAGAGACCCATCTAACAGCCACCGGAGGCTCTTGCTGGGTATATTTCCTCATGATATGTTCCAGTTTTATTGGTCTGATGAATGATTTGCCACAGCTAGAAAAATTAATTTGAGAAATGACAAGTCCAAAACCCGTATTCCTAAAAAAAAGAAAGAAAAAAAAAGGTTGAAAATAACTGCCTGCCCCTTGCTGACAGGAGCTATCACTTGTGGGCCAATCAGTTACCACAGGACAGGTGTGGAACTTCACAGGCCTTACCTCACTTAATTCCCACAGCAATCCTGTGGGGTGAGCATCCTAGTTGTCCCCGTTTTACAGATGAGGAGACTGAAGTTCAGAGGGGGCCAGAGGCTTGCCCAGAGGCTAGAAAGCATGTGTCTTGGAATCCTCGTTCAGATCGGCCTGATTTCTGATTTCTGAATCCAAGTTCTGATCTTTCCGCTAGGCCGATTTTCAGTTTGTAGATGAAACCAAAATGTGATCCTGGTCAGTCCCCAGCCCTCGGCTCCTCCGCCCACACCCCCAGTGGGCAGAACAGATGTCATTGGGGGCTTATATTCAGCGCCCCTGCATCTAAAAGGCCAGCAAAATGCTCAAACCTCTACTCCTCGCTTGGTAAGAAGTTTGCATCCTAACCCCCCCCCAGGGGCTCTCTCACCAACCTCCTTGACACCCAAGGTTCCAATCCCCAATTCTCAATTCTTCTAAGCTTCCCCAAAAGCCAGTGACTAAAGGGCAACACCTGGCCCTCTGGGGGACCTTGGCTGGTGCCATATGGCAGATTAGCTACTCTGTCACTCTGGGTGATGCAAGATCCATACTTGGCAGGCTGTGGAGAATCAGCTCCCCCACGGGACCTGGGCATCCTTCCTTCCTTCCCGTTTTAAGAATTTGCAGAGATCTGGCATGAAAGTCTGCTGTAGAACAAGCCCTCAATCCATAGAAGTATGTGACGTTGTTTTAAGTCTAAGCTGGATCTGTCCTTTCCAGAATATTCTGTATCCCAGCATTTCTCAAAGATGCTCAATAGCACTCTATGGAAAAAAAGAGAAAGAAAGAAAGAAGGAAGGAAGGAAGGAAGGAAGGAAGGAAGGAAGGAAGGAAGGAAGGAAGGAAAGAAAACCTGAAGTCAAGTTCATCTGGGAAACTGCAAATGCTTGGATATCTACGACGTCCATCAACTCTTCAGGGATCCAGGAAGGTCTGCCATGAAGAAGTTGAATGAGCATTGGTGAAGCCCTAAATCCTGCGGTGCCAAAGCTCTTTGACCCAGGGTTCCCTTGTGCTGGTGGGTCGGTTCTGGGCTGGGTAAACATGGATGGACGTCCTCCAAAAACATCTATTGCTAGCCAAATCCAAGACAGGGACATCAAGTAATGGTAGAGGCACGCACGTGTGTGTGTGTGTGTGTGTGTGCATGCACGCCTGTGTGAGGGTGCGTGTGTTTCACGTTTCACCTGCAAACTGGCTCCAGGGTGATTTCCAAGAGGGTCCCGAGCCCGGGGAGGAAGGGAGCTTCCGCTCTGCGTTTCCTGGGTGACTCTACCCTGCTTGGTCTCCCGCCCTCCCTTGAAAGGGGCTGGAAAGTGGTGACAGCCGCCGTGAGGGTGCGGTCAACCCGAGAAGGCTTCCTGGAGGGAGAGTGTGATGCCAGCTTAAGAGGAAGGTGGGGCCCGATGGCAACGCGGAGGTTGGGATGACACGCCCCACCCGGGACACTTGGCACGGCCACCCCGTGCCTGTCAATGCCAGCTGTTGGCTCTGCGCCCTGGCTTCTAGCTCCCCTGGCTCCCGGCTCCTCCCCCCCAGGTCTAGAACCATCTGCTGAGTCAGCCCAAAGCCTCCTGCTGAAAGGGAGAGGGTCGCCCTCTTGTGCGGGGCTGGCTTTAGGGCGGCTCCCTCCCTTGACAGCACTGGCCTCAAGGACACTGCGGCCCAGGGGGACCAGCCTGCAGCCCCGGGGACTTGGTTTGCTCAGTCCTGGGGCTGAAGCCAGGGCTCGGCGCTGCCTCCTGCTACCTCAGGGAAGAGGCAGGAACCTGGCGCTCAGGGCGGAGGGGAGCCCCAGGCTGGGACCTGGCTCGGTTAGAGGCAGGACCCTCCTTTCTCGCCCCTACGAAGGCCCCAGAGCCAGGCCTGGGAGGGAGAGGGGAGCACAGCAGGTGAGGGGCAGGAGGTGGGAGAGGCCGGCCTGGCCGCTCCTCCACCCCGCCCAGGGGAGCGGCCAGGGTCCTCCCTCCCTCCCTGCCCCTCAGCTGACTGGGCAGGGCCCCAAGAACACGCAGAGACCTGGAACCGAAACCGAGAGTGCTCACCTCCGGGACCCTCGCCTAGGCCAACCCCCAGCAAGCCCTGAACTACCCTGGAGCCTGCCCCGCCCAGGGCTGTGCCTCCCGGGAAGGGGGCCACTGTCCCCATCACAGAGCAATCAGTGGTAGAGGGAGAAGCCCATGGGCTAGGCCAGACAGGTTTACTGGGTACCTGTTCATTTCTGGGCCTGAGTTTGGCTGGAGACACACAACAGAGACCCAAATCAGACTTGGCTTCGTACAGGCTGTGTGACCTTAGTCAAGTCACTCCACCTCTCTGAGCCTCAGCTGCCTCTTCTGTAACAGGGGTTCCTAACACTGGGGCCTGGGTTGCGTTGGGAGTTAACTCACCTAAGCCTTGTACTGTAGGGCTGTAGCACCCCGAAAAGAGTAAGTACCTGATAAAGGGTGATTACTAAGGTGACAGACGCTGTGCTGGACAAAGGTCCTTTGGCAGAGGCCGGCTGGGCTCAGGTTTGCCCTCAGATGACTTCTAGATCTTCATCTCTGTGGCCCCAGGGGGACCTGCACCTTTTTGACCCGCAGTTCCCTCCCCTCTGCAAATGGGGTATCAGCTCTGGAGCCGGCTAATTCCCAGGATCAAATGAAAAGCAGACATCGGGCCCATGAGGCCGGGCCTCTCCCTGGGCGGGGTGTAGCTCAGGGGTCAAGCCTGTGCTTGGCGGGGCCCGGGGCCCTGCCCAGCGCCCCCAAGGAAAGGACGGGGGAGTCTCCCCGGCACATTCAGGGAAGGCACCACCCTTCTGCTTCTCAAACTTCAGGTCCCGACCCGTCACGAGTCTGAAGGCAAAGTAGTGGTCACAGCCGGCGTTTACAAAAATCAGCTAGAAAGGACGACAACATGGAGAGACAATCTCGGGCCGGGGCTGGGGCTCAGTGGCAGAGCGCTGGCCTGGCCGAGTGAGGCCCGGGCTTCCATCCTCAGCACCACACAACAAGAAGTAAATAAAACAGGGGCCTCTGTCCAGCCATGAACACACCAGTAAATAACACCCCCCGCAGTAGGACGTGTTTACTTCTTCTAATTTTTATTCCATTTAAATATCGGTGTGCATTTCCCTGGGTCACCATGCAAATGCACTCGCTGTGGACACGGGCACCTGGTGACAGGAGGAACACGGGCCTGCCATGGCTGGAGTGGGGTTAGAGTCCTGGTTCTGCCCCTCGCAGATGGACAGAGTCACGGCAAGTTATTGAGCCCTCTGTGCCTGGGTTTCCTCATCTGTAAAAGGGGACAGAAATAACACCAACCTCATCAGGAGGATTAAATGACGTGCTTAGAACAGGGCCTGGCAGGGGTCCCCCGAGTGTTGGTCACAGCTGCCAGCCTCAGACTGAGGATGAAGGGAGGCCTCAGAGGAGGGAGGCTGCGATCCCCTCCCTGGTGGGCAGAGCTCTTCGACCTCCCCATTTTACAGATGAAAAAGACAAAGGCCCTGAACCAGGGTTGGCTTGTCCAGCCACTGAGGAAGACTGCGGCCTGGCAGTCAGTCACCCAGGTGAGGGGGCTGAAGTTCAGAGAGGGGGCAGGTTAGGGGGCTGCGGATGTAGCTCAGCGGCACGGAGCTTGCCTATCGGCCGAGGTCCTGGGCTTGGTCCCCAGCTCTGCAGAAAAAGCATGCTCTGTGTGCCCCTCCCAAGGTGTCTCGGGATGGCGTCCAGGAGGCTGGTGACAGGCGCACCTTGGCTTCTTGTTTGTTATAATTATTCCACAGCTAACGTGTGTGGCTCTTTCGCGAAGGAAAAAAAGAGACGTTTCTATCAACATCAGAAAGAGCCACTGCCCACCTTGCCTGAGTCATGCGACATCTGCAGGCCAACCTGTGGGCTGACACCAGGCCATCTCCCCCCAAACCACCAGGGGTGTCGCTGTGGTTTGGGGCACTGGGGCACCAGGAGGCTGCTTTTCATCTTCTTTTTCTTCTTTGTTCCCAGTGACAGTAGATGACCTGCTGGTGGCATTATTCTGTAAAACAAACATGCCAAGGATTGCAGATGTCACACACGGGAGGTTGGGCAGGCCGTAAGTCACGCTGGAGTTTATCAGGAGATAAGTCCTGGCGTCTCTCGTCGCCACAACCTGGGCTGAGAGTGGAGGCTGCCAAGGGCCGGGGAGAGGGTTCTCGAGGCTCTGGGTGGCAAACCAGGAGCGGGGTGAAGAGCAGGGTGCGCAGAAGGGGCCCTGGGAGACGGCAAGGAGGAGGCGTCCCCAGCTGAGTCCCCAGGTGACTGGCCCTCTGCCGGGGCTTTCCCTGGAAGAGAGAGATTGGGTCAAGGAAGGAATACCAAGGCTTAGAGGCCGAGGGAGCCCACGCTGAACCCTGGATGTGGAAGATGGACCCTTTTGAAAAGGCACAGGCTTCCTGGTGAGGCTGTGGACTCCCCGGACACCCCAGAGGCCCAGAAGCCCATCTGCTGAGCCACCCTGGCTGCCTGTCCTCTCTCGTAGCACAGATAGAACCAACTAGGCCTCAGCGTGGGTGGCACTGCCTTCCCCCTCCCAAGGGAAGCTCCCTGAGGCCCAGCACGGAGTCCCCCTCCCTCTTGGTCTAGCCCAAGCCCAGTGCTGGGCTAGCCCAGTGCTGAGAAGAGAAAGTGCGTAAGGAACATCAGTGGAGTGCCCGAGCCTGGAGCCCGGCGGGGTCTGATGGTGACAGGCCTGTGTCGGGGACCCGCATTTGGGTTTCCCTTTAGCTTGCCCGTGACCCCAGTGTGGGGGTCTACGGAACACGGACCTCCCTTTAGTTCTGTCCTCACAGCGGACAGCGAGTCACAGCCACCTCCAACTCCAGAGAGGAGGAATGGGGGAAAGACACCACTGAGTAGAGGAAGAAGAGGCAGGACGCAGGGGCCAGCGTCCCAACAGGCACCACCTATCGAGGGAAGGTCGACCACACATGCCCGGTCACTGTGGGGAAACTGGCAGCAGCTGGCAGGATGGGGGGTCAGGTTGGCTGGATGCCTGGGGCCAGATCAGGTGGCTTGAGCTTATTAGCAGAAAGAGTGCAATCAAGAGCGGTGTCCAAGGACAGAGGGCCGAGACACTTGCTTGGGAGTCAGGGGTTCAGCTTATTGCACCAGGAAGGGGCCCAGAGGCTGCTACCAGGACACTCATCAGACACTGCGGCAGGAAAAACCGCCTCCCGCTCCCTGGATCTCAGCAGGCAATAGGGAAGTAAGGGCAACAGCACCTCCTGCTGGACACCCTCAGCATTACAATATCTATGTTGGAGAAGTCCAAAACAGCAAGGGAGATAAATTCTAGAATGTTCCATCTGGAATATCACGATTCAACAACTATTATTGCTGCTGTCGCTTTCTTTGATTAAACAATTAGAATATCCCCAGTGCTGTGCTAAGCACCTTTTTTGAATGATCTCATTTAATCTTTGCAACATCCCTATAACCATAATTCCTTTTTTTTAGATAAGGAAACTGAGACGGGGGGATCGTTTTTTGTCACGTCTCAAGTTGTTGGTAGCAAAATTAGCTCTCTAGTCAATGTCTCTGACTCAAGATCCACAGTTTTAAGTACCTTCTTGGCCTCCCTTTGGGTTACTTTCCTTCCTTGTGTGTCACTTTCTCAGGGCTAATGTCACAGCTGCCTAGTGGCCTTGTTACCTGTGCCCCTACCCTGACAGGCCCATCTCAGCCACAGTCATCCTTAGGCTTTCTCAGGATTTCAAAGCACTTTTGCCTAAGCTACTTACACACACACACACACACACACACACACACACACACATACACACATATGTAAAGTGGGACAGAGGATTGTCACTCCCAGTTGACAGATGATAAAATTGAGGCTCAGAAGAGTAATCGATTGACCACAGACACACAGCGTGGAGGCTGCAGCGAAGGCTGTCACCCCAGTGCTGCACATGCACTTTCTCTCCCCAACAAGTGCCTGATTCTCAGGCCCAGAGCTTCCTGTGGGCACATCCGAGGGTCCCCGGGAAAGCCTCAGGAGGTCAGGGCAGCAGAGAGCTGTCTTCTCTGCATTGGAGGGACCCCCAAAGCCGGATCGCCTGGTCCAACATCTCACAGCCTGGGTCACGTTCCTTCGGTGTGTGGCGCCCCCTGGCGTCCAGGCTTAGCAAATGCCGCTCGCTATCTAAGACTTCTTAGATGATGGGCGTTTCCAGTGATGGGGGCGGGGCGGGCTTTCTGACCACCTCCCAGGATCTTGCTCCCAGCCGGGCCCTTCAGCCCCTAGTGACCAGCGTGTGTCCAATAGGTAAGGACCACACTGCTCCTTTCAAAGCTTACCCATCCACCCCTTCTGGTGAAATTCAATTGGGTACAGACTTTCTGGACACAGTCCCCTTAAAAACTAAAATCAAGGCCTGTGGATGGGGCTATAGCTCAGTAGTTCAGCATCCCTGGGTTCAATCCTTAGTATCAAAAATCATATATATTTAGGGATGGTTTATGTCATTGTAACCATGGCCCCTTCACCTTCTGATGGTAGCTCTCATTGCTCTGAGGCTTATTTTTTTAAAAGAACACGTGTTTTCTCTGTTCTCCCCTCTCCCCTCCCTAGCAAGTTAAGGGACACAGTGTTAATTTTCTCCCCTAGTTAATTGCCCTCAACACACCCACTACAGGAAGGAGCTGCCTGCTGAGGATCTGGGAAGTATCTCCCCAATCAATAAGTGAATCCTAACACACCATTGGAGTGTCCTAGGGCCCCCTACCAGAGCCTACCTGGAATGTAACCCTTGAAGACTTCCTTTAAGCCCCCCATTGTTGAGAGCCACAGCCAAAGGGGCCCCAGCAAACTTCCAGCTGCCAGCAAACTTCCAGCTGCTGGCTGATGATTGGCTCACAGCGGCCCCAGCAACATCTAGCTGATTGGCTCCTCGGCCCCAGCAACATCTAGCTGATTGGCTCCTCTGCGGTGATGCTCATTGGACTGTTTCCCTGCCCTTTCAGACCACGGAGCTGCTCATTGGGGGACTTTTTTGGTTCCGCCCACGTGACCCAGCCAATCGGCCTCAAGAGCAGGAGGATTGTGGGAGGTGGAGAGAAGCTTGTGTGGGAGAGAGAGGCTTGGGGAAAGCCGGTGGTGGCAGTTGAGGCTCTGAGGGTTTTTCCTGAGAGACTATTTTGTTTGTCGTGTGTGGTTCTAAAAATAAAGTTAGTTTCTTTTGACAAGTGGCTCCTGATTGTGCCCAGCCAGACTGCGGCATTTGGTGGCTCGCACGGGGAGCGACTGAGGGTAAGTGAAACTGCTCGCCCCTGAGGGCAGGGCGAGAGGATGGGTAGCCATTTTAAGATTCTTCTTTTGTTATTTTGTTTCACTTTTGTTTTAAGTTGCCTGTCCCTGGAGATGAGTGAGACGGAAGAAAAACCGCTCACATCTGAGGAAAAACTATTTACGTCTGAGGAACAGATAGGGAGAAAGGACGGATGCCCATGTCAGGAGGATAGAAAGGCTATAATGACTTTTTGTTGTTCCCTTTTTATTTCATTCTGTCTCGGTTTTGTTTGGCGTCATCTTGTTGGGTTGTATTATAGTAGAAATACGGGATCAGAAATTAGTAAAAAACAAACTGAAAGAGTGTTAAGTAAATTGTTAGAGGAAGGAGGCATCCCAGTAAAATCAAGAGCAGTCAGGGCATACGTTGATACAATACAAAAATGTAGCCCATGGCTTTTTAAGGAGGAGTTGTTAAATATATCACAATGGAACCATCATGGTGAAGATTTAAAAAGAATAGAAAAGAAAAGCCCAGGGACTCTGCCAGTTGGCACATTGCCATTGTGGACGTTCATATCTTGTTTGCTTAGTCCAAAGCCTTCAGTTCAGACAATGGTAGAGGAAGGAGAAGACATAATGATTCAAGTAAAAGAGAAGGTCTCTCAAGTTAATCAGACAGAGAAAGAAAGTGTAAAACAGAAAAAGCCATCAGGGGGAAAGGTACAACAGGAGACTGCTACTAACACCTTTCTATCACCAGAGGGTGTAAGTGTCCAACCAACAGCGCCACCTCCATATGCTGGGAGGCCCCCAACCCCCGCAGTTGATAGTTGGGATCCTCAGACAAGATCTCAAATATTAACATGCCCTGTATTTGAGGCAGGAGGGCAGCGATTTTACCAAGTTTTAAATTTCAAAACAGTGAAGCAGCTAAAAGAGGCTGTAACAACCTATGGTCCTCAAGCACCCTTCACTGTAAGCTTGGTCGAATCCATTAACAACTTGAACATGACGCCAGCAGATTGGGCTAATATGTGTAAAGCTGTGCTAAATGGAGGACAATACCTGTTATGGAAGGTTGCCAATGAGGAATTTTGCAAGGAGACGGCTAGGCGAAATGCAGCAGCTGGTTATCCTCAGAGAAATCTAGATATGTTGTTAGGAAAGGGACCTTATGAGGATCAGCAGCAACAAATTGCATATGATCCTGGCGTATACGCACAAATTGCTGCAGATGCAATTAAGGCATGGAAGACTTTACAAGGACATGGAGGTTTACAAGGTCAATTATCTAAGGTAATACAAGGAGCTAATGAACCTTATGCTGAATTTGTAGATAGGCTTATTCAAACAGCTACCAGAGTTTTTGGGAATACAGAACAAGCAATGCCATTACTAAAACACCTGGCTTATGAGCAAGCGAATCGTTGGTGCAGAGATATCATTAGACCATGGAAACATGAAGATTTAAACACATATATTAAATTATGTAGAGACATTAATGAACAAGAGCAAGTCGTGGCAGCTGCAGTAAAACAGGCTTTAGATGCCAGAGACATTAATGAACAAGGGCAAATTGTGGCAGCTGCAGTAAAACAGGCTTTAGATGCCAGGCCAAGAACATGCTACAATTGTGAACAAACAGGACATTTTAAAAGGAATTGCCCCATTGGAGGAGGGTTTAACAAAACTAGGTATCAAAGGAGTAGAATACCAGGTATTTGCCCACGATGCCGTAGAGGGAGACATTGGGCTAATGAATGCCGTTCTCAAACCACCATAGAGGGTACTCCATTATCAAAAAACGAACAAGGACCAGGTGTTTATCCACGATATCGTGGAGAAAGGCATCGGGCTCCATTGCCAAAAAATGGACAGGGGGGCCCAATGCTCCGGGGCCCCAAACCACAAATATACGGAGCACTGGAGGAACCCAGCAACCCCATCAGGGTAGTGCCCAGGACACATTGTCCATCAGATCCCTCATCAGACAAACCAGAGGGAGCGCAGGGTTGGACATCTGCGCCTCCGCCAGAGCAGTACTAA